TAAAGAAGAAATGTACAACAAAAATACTAACTTTACAGCAACAAAGCTGTACGAACCTTTTTTGGACGACCTTTACCTTTTCTCTTACCCAATGGTTCACAACGTGTTTTGTCCGTCACCTGGTACAGGTTGAATACAATGCCTAATCCAACTGAATGTTTGCAGGTGTATTGCTTGAGACCACTTGGACACGTACACGATGTAAGCGGTGACACTAACCAACATGATGTCTGCCATGCCACAAAATCGTCAAATGATGCCCATTGACCAGAGCGATACAAATCCAACCAAACCAATGCAAAATATCAGATCGATTTATACTTACTGACCATTTGTAAGCATGCAGCTTCGTATCAGGAGATATACTTGTAGCAGCAGCAAATAGTGACGAAATACTTGCCTCTGGCCAATCTGTTAACATTTGTTTCATTTTTGGTAGAAAACTTAACCGTTGACAATACAATTTCGAAAACTGTCAACTGTTGACATATTTCATATATCTTTCATATTTCTGTTCATACTTCTTCGTGTATATATTCTCTTTATATTCTTTTTCTTGTCTGTCCACTAATTAATTTGCAATTAATTTTCTATTAAATTGCTATATACTCTTCTTGAATATATTTTCTGTAATTAAAACTTCTTTAATTGATTTAGTGATCAAAAGTCTTATTTTTTGGAGATCATTTCACTGCTAATAAATTTGGTGATCAAAAGTCACTTTTTTGGTGATCGAAAAAGTCGATACCCTTTTTATTAACTCATATATAGCACATCAAAGAGCACATTAACTGTACTAATTAATTATAGGCAATATATATATTCTCTTCGGTCTTATCACGATATATATTTATGATATATTATATCACGAATTTATGACTACGAAATGAATACGAAATTTTAGCAAAAAATAACGATCTTTCTGTAGTCAATATGCATAATTCTGCACCGATTCAATCGAAAGGCCTGATATTTTCACCACAATAGTTTCAGACTATGATCTACTAAATGAGAGAAAAAAATCGAATTTTTTAATTTTTGAGAAGAGCTCTATGTTGCTTTAGATAGGTAGTCTCAAGGACCCACTCTTAAGAGCTAATGAAAGCATGGTTAAATAGATTTATTTCAAAATTGAAAAATATGTGTTCAATGCAGATTAATTGAAAAGAAGGATTTGATTGAGTAAAAAAGCTATTACAGTTTAAAAAATAACTTATTTTTGAGGGTCTATTTTTTCTAGCGCCTTCTTAGTAGAAAAGACTTTAATCTCTGATTCACCTTCAATAACTGAGTAGGCGCGACCATCACCATCTATGTCCCAGTTTTTATAGCCATTTTCTTTAGCCCATTTGACGATTCTTTGTGCATCAGGAAACCATTTATAATGGTATTCAGTTCCACCATCGCCCTATAATTAGTCACAATCATTGCAACATGACCATAGTATCCACCAGAGAGAAAAAAGATTACTTACGTATGCATTACATATTTTATTGTCGAAATAAACACCAACATTGCCTTCGACATATAATTTTCCTTTAAACGGTATTTTTTGAGTCTGTTCCGATAATTCTAAATAATCTCTAACTGTAGTACGTGGATCAATGTCAAATTTATACGATTCTTTATGGTTTTGATGGTGAGACTTTGATTTAGTCTCTTCGTTTTCTAAATTTACTTCAACATTCATGTCAATACCTCCAATATCTTTCACACCAAAGTTAGCACCTACTGCCACTTTCACACCCGTTGTGACACGCGCTGTAGCTTCCCACGTTGTTCCTACCTCAAGCTCTTCAGTCTTTTCTATTTTTTTATCGGTGTCATTTGGTATTAGACCGCTGTACTTGATTTGTGGTTCACTTTTCGGAAATCCTTCTGCGTCTTCCAGTTTTAAATCATACTTTAAGTTAATGGCTTCTTTGCGCATTTCTTTATCGTCATCTCCAGGCATGACGACTCTTGAACCACCGCCATTTGCATTCTACCAAACGGGAAAAGAGACTAATCGATTGAATATGACTCAAACGAAATTAATACTTACTGATGAAGTAGATTTGCCCCACTCTTCAGCTAATTCTTTGAATGATGCCGTTGTAGACATTACTTGTCTGTGATAGTTCTAACACAAAAGATCAATGAGGATTGCGGTTGATTTAGTTCAGATCTGATTACTTTAAATGAAAAGCTAGGTTTCAAATGTAGATAAGTATCCGTGTTTCAGAGTTGATGATTCTGCCTTTCTTCCTATCCTCTTTTCTACCTTGCTTTTCTAAGAATTAAATAAACCAGGTAAAATCTAAGGCTTTTTAATCCAAGCCCTGTTGGGATTGCCTATTCTCCATGGGGATTCTTAAACTACCTTATGTTTTTTTTCTTGTAAGAAAACTCAAAATCTCAACAAAAACTGCTTAAAGACAGCAACTGACCACTTAAAACTGCATCTTACAATCTTACTACGACCTTACCCTTAGAAAAATTAGAGCAATAAGCTTCCAGAGAACACCGAATAAGCTGTGTAATTCTTAAGAGACGGCTCACGGCTCCATCAAACATACCCATACTTTCAAAAATCTTGACCCTACATTTTATGATTGGAAATGAAAGAGCATCATCAGAAGCCTATAAATTCAAATTTTTGGCTCATTCTAGTGTATCTTTGAAAAGTTATGAAGCAAACACTGGCAAGCACTTTTCGAATACAAAAAGTTTTGTTGCATTCAATGCAATTTATTAGTATTTAATAATTTTCTCTATAATTTCTTGTCAGAATCAATTCGAGTTGTATCTCATTCGATAGAGAAACACTTTCAGATTTTATTATATTGAGTAATTGAACGTAAAACTATGTAGTGGACATAGATTGTTCAGCATTTCCCACCCTGTATTTTTTAATGTAACGACCATTTCCCTACTAACTCTAAGTCGCCCAGAAATTTTTTTATCAATGTGAATAGAGCAAAGAAAGAGCTATTCAACGACTATGAAATATTTGAAATCAAAGCTGCACAAAGCCTTCATCTAAAGCTCATAAAATATCCTATGATACCATAAACGATGGGAGTGGGTTCGATAGCAAAATCAGCTCTGTTTAGAAATCCTTAAAAACTTAACTTTGTTTTGAAATACACCCTTTTCTTCAATCTGTGGATGCAATTCTTTTTTACGAACTTTTAGAATTATATAATTTTAAAAGTTGGTCGAAAATGATTTGGCTGCCGCCGACGGAGGAAAGCGTGTATTTCAAAACAAAGTTCATATTCGAAATGCGCATAAAATTCTCTTTCTAGTCCATGTCTTTTTGTTTTCCGAAAAGTTTGCAAAGGCGAAATATGGCTGACGGAAGTGGCTGAATTTCAAAACAACTTGGGAAAAATATTTTCCGAAAACCTTTTCTAAACCCAGGAAAATCCGAAGTTTTTGGCGCGTTCTCCTTTTCTATGCACTGTGGAACCTTCATTTATACATATTCAGATGTAGAACGAAAATCTGCATCGAATGGTGTATAATTCAACGGATTTTAACAGAAAAATTTTCAGCTTTTTCCGAGGTGATGTAGACGTGTTTGACAAGAGGCTCCCGAGTGTTTTCCGTCATTTCCCCAAAAATTCGACGACGCTTCATGGTAGTACTCTGGGCCTACTTCACGAAACCGTAGAGAACCCTGCAAACGGACCATCTTAGGTTGCAAAAACCTCTTTGCAAAATGGCCGATGACGTTTTGTCTATATCTAAAGAATAAACTATTTCTGGAGAACGCTTAACTCAAACAAGCTCAAATTTTTATCTTACGTAGTACTCATAGCAAGACAGCTCTGGTAAAAACTTAAGCTCATTAGCATTTGATTTGACGGAGTTATAGCATAAGCAAAATTTTCGACTGGAAAATCGCTTTTTTTCCGTATTTTACGACTTTCTTGCAAGCGCTCTAGCGGCAAGGGAAAGCATTTTGGAAAAAATATCAAGAGACAAAAATATTCAGGACACATTTCTCTATCTGCTCTGATAATTTGAGAAAAATTTGTGGCAGTGCATTGAGCACGCTATGCTGGAAAACTGCGTTTCTATCGTGCACTACCTCTTAGAGACTAAAATATACAATGTAAAATAGA